GTGCTTTTCTCTTTCCTTCTAGTTGTAGAATTTCCACTCAGCCAGCCTTCCTGTGGTTCTGGACGATGTCTGTTTTGTCTTTTAGTTATATTTTTGAAGTGGTTGTGTGAGGCAGCAATTTCCGGTGTTTACCTATGCCGCCATCTTGGTTTCTCCCCTTGTTTAATTCTCATAGCACTCTGTGAGGCAGTTGTTGTTTTTTAAATATATTGTTATTGATTTCAGAGAGGAAGGGAGAGGGAAAGACAGATAGAAACATCAATGATGAGAGAGAATTATTGATCGGCTGCCTCTTGCACGCTCCCTACTGGGGATCAAACCTGCAACCCAGGCATGTGCCCTTGACTGGAATCGAGCCTGGGACCCTTCAGTCTGCAGGCCAATGCTCTGTCCACTGAGCCAGACCAGCTATGACTAGGCAATTTTTTTAAAAAAAATATATCTTTATTGGTTTTAGAGAGGAAGGGAGAGGGAGAGATAGAAACATCAATGATGAGAGAGAATAATTGATCAGCTGTCTCCTATACGCCCCCTAGTGGGGATCGAGCTGCAACCCGGGCATGTGCCCTTGGCTGGAATCGAACCTGGGATTTCCTAGTCCGCAGGCTGACACTCTATCCACTGAGCCAAAACCGGCTAGGGCTAGCTAAGCAATTGTTAATACTCATTTTAAGATGAGGAAACAGCCAGGCCGGTGTTGCTCAGTGATTGAGCATCAACCTATGAATCAGGAGGTCATAGTTCGATTCGATTTCCGGTCAGGGTACTTGCCCAAGTTGCAGTCTCAGTCCACAGAAGGGGGCGTGCAGGAGGCAGCTGATCAATAATTCTCTCATCATTGATGCTTCTACCTCTTCTCCCTTCCTCTCTGAAATCAATTAAAAAAATATCTCTATATATAAAAGGCTAAGTATCCCTCCGACCATCCAACCGGTAGCTATGACGTGCACTGACCACCAGGAGGCAGACGCTCAATGCAGGAGCTGCCATGATGCGCACTGGCCATTTAAAAAGAAACGGCACTGCGGATCTAGTGCTGACAAACCAACACTCAGCTTCCCCCAAGTGGGACACAGGCCCCACCACCACCCAGGAGAGACACCCCACCAAATCGCAGCCGATGCTGCCGAGACGCCATGGTGCAAAATGTGGTCCACAGCCCAGCCCAGCCCAGAAATGGTGGCTGTAGGCTCTGGGTAATGATGTCATGTTGCAATGCCTGGCTTCCTCTTCCTAGCGACTAGCATCTCTGGAGTTTCTTCAGCCCAGGAACATGACTTGCTTTATAGCCAGGTGGAAACATTTTACACTTTAACCAAATGTTTGTGAAGGCTTTTCCTGTGCCTCATCTCATTTGATCCTCACAGAAGTCTTGGAGTAGGTAGGAGACTTGGTGGAATCTTATTTTCTTTTCATTTGTCAGAAAACAGAGATTTAGAAAGTTTAGAAACTTGACCCGACTGAAAAGAGTAAGAAATGGTGGAACTCGAAAATTACTTCAGGTTTTCTCACTGCGCAGAATATAGTCAAACGCTGCTACAGTTAAATATTTTACCCTTTGTTCTCCCTGCGTGATCTACGATAATAATCTGCTTCATATTGGTATTTACTGCTGTGTTACTGACAATTACTTGAAAGAGAAGTTGGGGTGCTTCACTGGGCTGGAAAAAGTTTAGCTAAACCAGAAAGCAGGTCTAATTAAGCACGTTTATTCTATATATATATGTGGCTAAGTTGACTCACGCATGCACGGTACCTATAAAGCTCTCGCGCCAATCTTGTGTGTGTTTCAATCTGTCATTGTTGATCGTGAATTTGGTTGACTCTTCTATTATACAGAAAGGGCAAATAGCAATATTAAAATATTTCTTCTAATTGATTTCCTTTCAATGTGCATGAATCTGTGCACCGGGACACTAGTATATATATATAAAAGATGAAGAAACAAAGTCAGATGTGACTTACTCAAGATTACAAAGTTAACAGGTGATTCACCCATAATTTAAATCTCAGTCTTTTGTCTCCACAAGATAATGTTCTTTTTACTGAAACTTACTGATAATGTAATATGTTATTGTTAACTGCTGAGTGATAATGTTGAACAATGAGTTGTTGTTTTTTTATAGGAAGAGAAACTAGTTCATCTGTGCCTGTATATTTAGGATGTTATGTATTTCTTTGCAGTCTTCCCAAGGTCTATTTGCTGAGGAAACTTCTGAAGAAGGAAACTCTGACCCTGCGTCACAAAGGTAAGATTATATGTTATGGGTTTGAATTCTCCTCTGTTGATCCCAGAATAAGAGAGCTGAACCACATGAGTAAGACTTGGGGGACAGCTTCCCAGAGATCTTTTGGCTCTTTTATAAGCATAGACTAGGAGAAGTCATTGTTGCCTATATGCATCTCATAGAAGCCTAGAATATTTGGTTGGAAGAAATCTTGGGGGTGTTTTGTTGTTGGTTTTCTTGTCCAATCCAGCCATCTAGTACAAATCCCATTTACACTGTTTCTGAAAAATGATTACATCCTGCTACTCTCTTAACTAGCTACACTAACTTCCTAAGCCAATGTGAAGGCTCTAAACCAGTGGTTCTCAACCTTCTGGCCCTTTAAATACAGTTCCTCATGTTGTGACCCAACCATAAAATTATTTTCGTTGCTACTTCATAACTGTAATGTTGCTACTGTTATGAATCATAATGTAAATATCTGATATGCAGGATGGTCTTAGGCGACCCCTGTGAAAGGGTCGTTTGACCGCCAAAGGGGTCGCGACCCACAGGTTGAGAACCGCTGCTCTAAACTGATTTCTTTATGTTCCTTCTAGTCCTCCTTTCCCCATTGTTTCCTCTGCTTACTAATATGTTTACTTTATCTGCATATCTAAACCATATACATCTTTAAAAAATATATATTTTTTATTGATTTCTGAGAGGAAGGGAGAGGTAGAGAGAGAAACATCAATGATGAGAGAGGTTCATTGATAGGCTGCCTCCTGCATGTCCCCTATTGGGGATGAAGCCCGAAACCCAGGCATGTGCCCTGATCAGGAATAGAACCGTGACCTCCTGGTTCAAAAGTCGACCCTCAACCACTGAGCCACATTGACTGGGCCGTATATATCTTTTAAGTCTACTCTTATAACTTACCTCCTTTTTGAACCCTTCATATTATTCAGGCCACACAGAACCTGTATCTCTCTCACTCCCTATGCTATGCCACTTTTCATCGATTATATATCATCTTTCTCTTAAATGGTAGTATTTGTATTACCTCCTTAATTATTCTCACTGGTTGATTGATAGGGTTACTTTCTTAGGTCTTCTCACTTTAATATTTAGTAATGGATTGGTTATAAACTGGATCAAGCTTCCAATTACTTTTCCCTTTATCTGGTTGTTGGCCTTTGGGGATTACTCCATCTCCTATGTGGAATTTGAGGCCCAATTAATTAAGGCCATTTGCTGTAATTTAGTTGGTGTTCTTAGGTTTTTGGTTAATAGTACTAGGTATTTCTTCTTGAGCTGAAGAATATGGCTTTGGTTTGATTCTCCTGCTAAGACAGTTTTGGAAGTGGTTTTAACTGAAGTTCTGCTTCCTACAGGCCTCTCTGCTTTGTTGTAGTGAGCCTTGTGCAGAGCAGATGTAGGTTTTAATAAATGATTAAACGCTTTGTCACCAGGAGAGAGTTGGAACTGCAGGCAATGTGGTTTGACTTCAAATTGATTAGTCCATTTTATAAATGTCAGCAAATTGTTTTGTGATGGACCCTTTGAATAGAGTCCTAATGTTACATGCAGAGTAAACTGTATCTGGTTTGGGTTTATAACAAATGGTATGAAATGTTTTATTTAGGGACAGAAATCACTTGTGGTTTTCTATCAGGATTTAGTTATTTATCACAAATCAGTGGTGGTTATTTTCTCTTCTCTGTGGTTGATGTGAGGATTTGTGTCCTCTTGTATATTTGATCAAATTAATGGTAAAGCTCTATGGAGCATGAGGGGGCTAGCTCAGATCTCTTAGCCATGTGTTCCTGTGCAGGAAGAGATTGCACTCCATGAACAGGCAGGGTAAACCAGAAGGTCAGATGAGGGGAGCCATTCATAATTATGTTTTTCTCAGAAGAGATTTTCAACTTCTTTGGCAGTTTGGAATTGTATCTTATTTTTGTTGCCTACAAAGCCACATCTTGAGATAGAGTGGAAATTTAACTGCAAGTGTGTTGTCAGGAGAATCTTCATATTTTCTCTTATGAGCTTACAAATCTCTAGCCTTCAGAAGGCTGAGATGGAGACCCTGAAACACCTTTGACATCCTTTTATTGGAATGTAGTTTTTGTCTTCTGTGATCTTCATAGATAGTCCTTACCCTTCAACCTTTCTTTGTGAAGACTCCAAAAGGGTGTTCTTTTCATATAGAGATTTCACTGGAACCAAAGTTGTAAGCATGTTTATTTCCCCTATTAATGGCCTGGAGTTTTCACTACTGATTCCTTGCGTCCCTGTTGTGCTTTTTTGGCATTGGACAGCAGGTATCAGGTTACTGGTGGCTTTGTGAGTGACTCACGATTGCTTTAGGTGCTGTGTTCTGATTTATTTTATTGGGAATTCACTTGGGGTTTGGTTCTTTTTCAGCATTGCTGCTTTGACCAGTAAGAGAAGCTTAGTCCTTATGCCAGAGAGTTCTGCAGAGGAAATTACTGTGTGTCCTGGTAAGCATCCCACTGTGACTTTACTGACTTTCTGATCCCTAGCTATCTTTGTGCCTATTAATTTGTCTGACTTTTTCATCCCACTCCCAGGAGGTTTATGTGTGATTGATGTGTGTGTATATCACCATACACAAATACATACTGATGTTTTTTTTTCATGGACTTTGGCTCTGATTCTCAACCTTTTCCCAAAGATATTTGAGTTTTGAAATTAACATGGCTTGTTTGTCTTGTTTGCTGACTGGCCTCATCAGAGATGGCAGCAAAGCATCAGGAATAGCACTTAATTGTACATTCAGAGCTCAGAGGACTTTATGTTTTGGTTTATGGATTCTCAAAGTTGGGCTGTCCTTAAATCTGCCTGTCATTGAGCAGATTTTTCTCAGAGGCTTTTACTAGTTAGTTTTACATTGCTACTCACAGGATATTATTGCATAGGGAATCAAGAAATTGAATTTTTGTGCATAGTTCTGTCACTGACTTATATTTTAATCTCAGACAAGACACTTAACCTGGTTAAGTTCTATACTTTGGTTTTGTTAATTGTAGAGATGAAAAGACATGTGTACCTTGCTTTAGATACAAGAGCTGTTCATTAAAAAATGCACAGCATAAATTTGATATATAAATAATTTTAGAGGAACTAAGGTACCCCATGGTCTAAGAGAACTCTTGGGTTGAACAGTATGTACTGTGAAGAATTATTTTGTGATATGAACCACTGTTTTCTAAGCAATTTGTTCTATCTTGTATCATTATTATTATTATTATTTTTGGCTTTTCTTAAATGTGGGGTCCATTATTTTTATCAGTAACCTTATTCATGTGAGATTGAGTTACTTCCTATTAATCTTTAAACTTTTGAGCAGCAAGTATTATACAAATATTATCATAAATTATATCTAGTTTTCTCCGAGGTTTTATTTAACCTGTCAAGGTCAGAAAGGCTAATATAAACTAAGTTTGAGTTTTTATGGGGAAAAACTTGAAAGAAATCAAAATGAGAAAACTGTTAAGTAAATATTTTTAAACATTTAGCAGCATATCATTAAGGACTTTCTTTACTTATTTTAAAGTTTAACTGTTAGGTTTTTTAAAAAAATATTTTTATTGATTTTAGAGAGAGGAAGGGAGAGGGAGTGGAATAGAAACATCAATCGACTGCCTCCTGCATGCCCCTAGTGGGGATTGAGCCTGTAACCCAGGCATGTGCCCTGACCAGGAATTGAATGGGGGACTTCTTGGTGCATGGGGCGATGCTAACCACCTAGCAACACTGGCCAAGCTCTATGTTGGTTTTTATTGAAAGTGGTTTCTTAGTTTGTTTGAAATGTAGTTGGATTACTGCCTACTAAGAAAGTCCACTATCAAGTGCTCCAGTTTTGGCAAGAGCACTTAGAAATGCTGTGTTACCTTTGTGAAAAGAAAGCTTTATCCCCCTCTCTGTCTGGGACTTCTAACTTATGCCATTCTGCTCAGAGTCAATCTGTCTGTTTAGGATGATGGCATGTGATGCCACCCTGGAATCTTGAAGGAGGAACCTGCAAATACAATAATCTTTTTTAAAAAATATGTTTTGTTTTTTTTCATTTCAGAGTGAAGAAGGGGGAGGGAGAGATAGAAACATCAGTGATGAGAGAGAATCATCAATCAGCTGCCTCCTGCACACCCCCTACTGGGGATTGAGCCTGCAATCTGGGCATGTGCCTTGACCTGGAATCAAACCTTGACCTCCTGGTTTATGGGTTGATGCTCAACCACTGAGCCAAACCGGCCAGAGCCTAATACAATAATCTTGAAAGCCCTAGTTAATAAGAGAGGAAAAATCAAGCCCTTTATGACTGAGGTTAGATAACTTTTAGATCATGACTGTTATCACTTGTCTGCTAATTAAATCCAGCTTTTTGCTGACACAACTACTTCTAAAGTAGATCACAAAAGGTTTTCATAACCCGTTCCTTTTGCTAAGAAAGTATTAATTCCTTCTTGGAACTGGACTCTGGAGTCTCTGAACACACACACACATACACACACACACACACACACACACACAATTCTAAATATATAATTTAAAAGCTGTGCATTTAAATTGTCTGAAAACTTTGTTCTAAATGAGTGAAACACAGTTTGGGTATGGTAATCCATCTTATCTATTTCATTTTATAAATTTCTATTAGTGTTGATATTGAAAATTATGACATCCTTTTAGAGTTACTCACTTTGTTGAAGAAGCAAATTTATAGCTTTATGTACACAATGTGCATGACACTAGCATTGTTTATTTCTAAAGCTAATGACCTCTTACGTTGTCTTTACAGTTGAACATTTCAGCCATTTACAGAAAGCTTAAAGACATTTTATTGTTACTGTAGTGCAAGCAGTAAGCAGTTACTCTTTTCTGATAGACTAAATGTCTCTTTTGGTAATATCTCTCAGGGAAACCTGACAAAAAATTTGAAGTTTAAGTACTGTAATCTTTTTTTCAACAAGATGGTAAAATTGTGTGTGTCCAATTTTAAAAAATTATAATTTATTAAAATATATTTAACACTAGAAATGTACTTAATCCTTCTTTGATGTTTGAGAAAATGCCTCAGTATCTTTCAGGTACTTTATTTGCCCAATATTGGCCGTTCATTGTATTTAAGAAGCACAGAAATATCAGTTAGATGTATAGTGTGTACAGTGTACATGATAGAGAACTTACTGGATTTGTGTTCTGAGATCAATTTCTTTTCCAGATTTATTGTTCTTCTTTGAAATGTAGTTACGTTTCTTTTGTTATATTAAGAGATAGGGATCTATACCAGAGGTTGGCAAACTTTTTCTATAAAAGACTAGATAGTAAATATTTAGGCTTTGTGCGCCATACAGTTTCTGTTGAAACTACTCACCTCTGCCATTTTAGCAAAAAAGCAACTATAGACAATACAAAAAAGAATGAGCATGGCTGTGTTGAAATAAATATTTATTAACAAAACCAGGCAGCTGGCTGGATTTGGCCAATGAGCTATGTAGTATGCTGACCTTTGAATTATGACACTATGAGGGACCTCATCTTTTATTTCCACATTTCCAGTAGCCCATATAGTGCCTGGAACTTTTTGTTGAATAAATATTTGTTGAATTAGTGTGAATGAATAGATGCTGTTTAAAGAATATATTAAAGAAAGGCATATGTGAGTGTTCCAGTCAAGACGGTGGCATAGGTAAATGTGGTACTCACCATTTCCCACAACCACATCAAAATTAAAACAAAAATACAGAACAACCATCATTCAGAACCACATGAAATCTAGCTGAACGGAAGTCCTTACAGCTAGGGAGTTAAGAAGGCATGGAGACTGGTAGGAGGGGCAGAGACACAGGGCCAATCAAGGAACCGGCTGGTCCCACACCCACATGTGGCAGTTTAAAATCAGGAGGAATATCTTGGCTGTGGAGGTTTCCTAGCCCCACAACAGGCCCCCAAGTCCAGGGTTCCAGTGCTGGGAAGTGAAGTCCCCATAACTTCTGGTTGCAAAAAGCAGCAGGGATTGTGCCTGAGTGACACGGAGGCTGCAGGAGACCCAGGCAGTTCCTCTTAAAGGGCCTGCCCATGGACTTACTTGGACTCACACTCTCTGAGTTCCAGCACTGGGGCAGCAGCTTGAAAGGAACCTGGAACATTTAGGGAGGAACCAACTTGTCTGGAATCAGGGTGAGAGCGGGAGGGGCAACTTTCCCACAAGTGCTGGCAGAGGCCAATCTTCCTTTGCTTAGTACTCCTTGCCACAGAGCCTACAGGCAGGCACCATATCTGAATCTCTATCAATCTGGCTCACACTTTTCACCCTGCCATGGTGATTTCCTGAGACCCCGCCCCTCCCTATTTCCAGGCTCATCCAAGCCATTTCCAGTGGCTTTTCCATACAACTGGCCTCTCTTGTCTCATGCTTTGGACTTATGTAAAATCTCTCAAACAAGCAGCAGCTGGTCTCAGTGTGCCCTGAACCTCTCAATAAGTGCCCCCAGGCCCAGCATTAGCAGCAGCCCCCCTTGGTTTTTATAGTTTGGCCTCTCTTGGGCACCTTCAAGCCCAACACAAGTAGCAGCCATCTGCAGGTTGTTTTGTAGCTCATGCTGGGTAGCCCTGGGCAGGGCACAGGCAGTGGCTGACTTTTCACCTCCTGAGAGGCCACATAGCCAGTGAACCTAGTGGTCAGCTTCAACCATGCTAGATTACAACCCTACTACCTCCATGAGCGACACACTCAAGGGGTGTACTCGGTGAGCACCAAAGCCCCACTGAAGCTAGTCTTGCTCTGTAGGGTCGGCTCCTGTACAGTAGTTCTTCTGTTGTAGTCTCAGCCAAGCCTCTCAACTGATTGGCCTGGGGGTCAATCCCACCCAGTGATGCCAACATAAATCAAGGCTCAACTACAATAGGACAGTGCACACAGTTCACACGGTTGCACCTGGAGTGCCCAGCTCAAGTGACTGGGAATGCTGAGCCATTGGGCCCTACAGGACACCTGCTACACAAGGCCATTCTACCAGTCTGGGAGATGTAATAGATCTACTGAATACATAGAAACAAATATAGGGAAGCTGCCAATATGCAGAGACAAAGAAACCTGTCTCAAATGAAAGAACAGTAGAAATATCCAGAAAAAGACCTTAAATGAAATGGAAACAAGAAAACTACCAGATACAGAGTTCAAAACAATGGTTATAAGGATACTCAACGAACTTAGTGGGAACTTCACAGAACTTAGTGAGAACATCAACAACATAAAAAAACACCAGTTAGAAATTAAGCATACACAGTATGGAGTTTCCTCAAGAAATTAAAAATGGAACTCCCATTTGACCCAGTCATCCTACTTCTAGGAATATATCCTAAGAAACCTGAAACTCTCATCAGAAAGAATATATGTACCCCTATGTTCATAGCAGCACAATTTATAATAGCTAAGACTTGGAAACAGCCTAAGTGCCCATCAGCAGATGAGTGGATAATAAAACTATGGTTCATTTACACAATGGAATACTATATGGCAGTAAAAGAGAAAGAACTCTTACCATTTACAACAGCATGGATGGATCTGGAGAGTATTATGCTGAGCGAAATAAGCCAGTCAGAGAAAGATAAGTATCACATGATCTCACTCATATGTGGAATCTAATGAACCAAATAAACTGATGATCAAAAATAGACCCAG